GACTCGCATCGAAAGAGTCCTACTCGCGACACAATGAAATTGGATTAAGCCACCGTCTCTCTCCCGTGCAATTTTAACGATCCACCGGCGTACAAATTGTCGAGATGCTATCGGTACCCCGCGGGAGCCATCGGGAGAGGCAAGAAAGGTGGAACGACCCGGCAGATAGCGGGTCGGATAAAATCGGCGCGAGGGAGAGGGAAGATCGCGGTGGAAGATGCGAGGGAAGATTAGGGCGGCATCTCTCCCTACGGGGTGGCAATGCAGAGACTACTACGACTGATCCCGATGCCACTGTTGCCTCCTCTCGTCTCGCTGCATTCGTTGCCCTCTGGGCAGACGCCGCGGCCCCCCCCCCCTCCTCCCGTCCTCACGGGATTCGTACGTTAAGGATTCTCAACAGTAAATTACAAAATATGCTAAGCGGCCGATATAAATCAAAAGTTGGCAAAGGGTAAAGGGACGGGGTTCTCTTCTTATGACGTGGGGTCCTCTCTCCGTCGATCTCTCTCTGTAGGGAGACCGATCGAGAGCGGTACGTTCCGTGAGTCGAAATAAGAGAGGAGGGTGCACCCGTGTCACGAATCCGTAAAGAGAGACTCTCGCTTCTCTCACGGGGCGATCGCAGTTTGCAAACCGAGCAAATGGACCGGAAAGCCTCGTTGCGAGTCGATATAAATATAGGCTACGGGGTTCCGTTTCTATTCCGTGAATGAGACGGAGGCCCTATTGGTTATGAACTTCGAATTAGCAATCTGTCCGTGTACGATGGAGGGAATCTCGGTAGTGGAATCTTCGGAGATTTACGATGTCGGCCGCGGGTCGTCACGGGGGCTGATTTCGATTTTTGGTACCCCGCGATTTCCAGCGGCGATAAAAGTGCACACGCGTTCCGGTCCGAGTACAGAAGCTCGGGCCGACGTGATCGATGCACGAAAGGAACGATCGCCACGGTTGAGCGACGCCCCGATCTCATCCTTCGCCCAGGGAGAAATTAATTACGAACGGACAGTAAAAAATGCATTACTGATTTGTTTGCGATATTCAACTGCCACACTTTTATTACTTATTTACTCGTCACTTCGTTAATTGGAAAATTTTTATGATTCCACATCATCGTTTTGATCGCCGTTCTTGGAAATCACAGTTATTTATTTGGAACATTTCTCATGAGATTGAAGAAGTTGTTCATTGATGCGAACGGTAACTTAAAGTTAGAAATTAAGAGAAGATGTCGTTCCACCATTAACGTACCGGGAATTTATTGATCAATTAAGCTTGATAAATTTGAGCACCGATCTAACAGTTTCTGAATCTCCAAGTGCCAGTTAGACGTAACCAGTCTTTCAAGTATAAATTTTTGTTAAATCTCACGATGATTATTCCTATCACGAAAAACAAAGACGTGGCGCGAGATTAACATTCACAAAAAGAAAATGTTTATCTCGACACTACGGAATCGAAGAAAAATGTCCAGACTGCAATTTCCTATGAGCTAACAGTTTTCAGATACGCCGACGAATATCGTGTCCAGCCGCCATAAATTGCGCGTAATAGCGCAATAAACTTACACAATAAATCCATTTCTCTTACGGAGAAAATCTATCTGCCGGCACGTCGACAGCGACGTCGTCGTCTATCATTAATCTCGAAGTCGCAGAAATAACCGAGGGGAGTAAACGAAAACCGTTGAACGAATAAAAAGGAGAGATGGAGAGAAACAATATGAATTTCCGCTAGTCGATGATGATTCTTACTGTTTTATGAAACGAGAGAAGTTCCCGTGAACGAGCGCGTGCGCGATTGTTCCACATAGCGCGGAGTCGCGATAAATTATGCTACCCGCAAGCACTCAATTATGCGCGCGGGAGACTATTAATCGCGATACGGGGAAACGTGGATGTTAATAAAGCGTCGTGCCGCGCTGAAAGTGTTTTCAGCGACGTTTACACGCCGGCTATCTGGCGATCTACGCTAATCGAGTTCTATCCCGATGCACCCAGTCGTCACGCGCGCAACCCTTTGATCCCCGCTTCACGCACCTTGGTCACAGAAAATTTATACTCATGGCCAAAACCACGTCACAATCATGATATCTTTATATACAAGTATAAAGATCTCATTAATTAATGCTCACTCATTCCAAAGTGGAATTTCGACAGTGAATAAAGTTGAAAGAGACAAGATAATCTAAAGAATTTTACAATTAATTTACTTACACAGGCTTTGTCTCGATGTAATTGATTCTGTGATAATTTTTTTTTTAATACAATCGCTGTACCTGTTTGTGAATTCCAAAAATGATGACTGACGAGGAAAAAGTGTGCCGAGACGAAAATATGTTCGGTTTAATTTAATCGCGGGAGCCACGAACGCCGGGCATCCGTCCTCGAGAGACATTTCGATCATCGTCGGTCATCTGGCGAAGGCCAAAAAAAAGGTAGCATTCGCGATGTCGTCGCGGAATAATTCACAAAAACGCGTCTCCGGGGAGGCGAAAAAAGGTTCGTCAAAGTTTCTCGACCACCGGGGGAGCTCTTTTCTTCCCATATGTAGGTACACGTTGATGCAGAAACGATGGAGACTTCTACATGTACATACGTACATAAACGCGTTTATTCAATCGCGCGTTTACAATCTTCCCGCGTGCGTGAATCACGGGAGGGAAGGCGTTGCGGTATACAACTGTGGAAACCGATGATTTTTGTCGCGGCGCTTAAGACCGCGCCGGGTACTAATATGCAGTGGGTTCAACAGCGACGCGGTACGCTTCATTCTCTTGCATTAGCAATGCAATCGCGGGGTAATGTATAGTTCCTATCGCGGAATACGTTTCGTAATTTTTTCTACCGGGGAGGAAATCTAACGTTCGGTAATTGCTTCCCGTAATGAATCGTTAGCGAACAGGTGGCGTTTTAGGCTTGATCACGGATGCGTACAGTTAAACGCGCTCTCTCTTCCGTTCGTTTATTGTGTGATTAAAGAATTGAACATCGAAAGAAACTGGTATTTTTTATTGGGAGAGTTAGGGATCTGGTCGATGCTGAACCGACCGTATAATCTACTCGTTAACACTAGATTGCCCAAGGAAGTAATTTTGACTGCTTTTGGGCAAATGTACAAATAATAATGCATAAATTATTTTTTTTCCCAAGTGAAGTAAATTCTTTTTATTGTTAACATTTACTAATAACTTGTTATATGACTGTAAATAATATAAAAAATATTAAAAATTAATTTTAGACAAATTTCTTTACACATTATTCTTTCACAATGCAGTTATTT